TTCTTGTTGCTGAAAAAAGACTAAACATTTTCTACTTCGTCTAGGAAGGGTATTTGTTGCTCTCCTAATGGCTTCGTGTCTTTCTAGAATTATAGCTGCAGTATTTCTAATAGACCGTTAGATAGTGACCGATTTAGATGCCTCATTTTCGCATACAAGCCTCGAAGAGGGTTGACAAGTTCATCGATGTTGAGTAGAATAAATGAAAATTTACGAGTGGCTCTCGGGGATAACACATGGAAAATTCGATTTTCCTTTTCAGAAATATTTTCCGACCCCAAAATGCACTTATACATTTGGGTCATTCAAGAAAATATGTTTTTCGGACTAGTTTCGACGTACATTTTCATTCATTCGATGGGCTTGTGTGGAAAAATCGGGCAACAAATAACCATTTTTTGTTAGGGATAATCGAATGTTCCATTTTTTATCCCCAGAAGCCACTCGTAAATTTCCTTTTATTCTACTTAAAATCAATGGGAAAATGGGGCACCTAAACCTGTCACTATCTGACGGACTATAACACGTCGAATTAGTACCCCTACTTTGTATACTTCATTTTCCTACCATCCCCATTACCAATAATCTAGTGCGGTGAGCTCTGAAGATCGTCGAGATCAACTAATAGAACCACCGCAACCAATCCAACGCACTGAAAATCTTTCGTAGATAAAAGTACATTGTTAATAAAAAAATTTAATTATGTCATAAACGGAAAACAAATAAAAATCGGATGTATGATTTTTTAACATTATTTTCACGTGTATAATACATTCCTGTGGCGTGTATCTTCTCTCCAGACCCGCTAATTTAGTTAATAATTTATATTGGTTTTATCTTAAAAAAGTATCTTTGATTTTATTATTGTACGAACTTGGTTATTAATCATTTAACGTAACGATAAGAACGTACACCCTGTATAAATAACGTATTAGGTAATTGAAGAATCACCATTATTGTTATTCAATTTTTAATTTTTTCTTGGATCGATAATTTGTTTGAATGTATATAACCTTGTGATGCTAGTAATTTTTTTCTAATATAAAGAATCATTTTTTTTTTACAATATGCAAACTTGAAATTTGAATGTATTTTGGATCAAACTTGTTTCCACGAAAATAATATGATTTGATCACCTCATAAATATTTTAAAAGATATTTAAATGATTTTATAATGTGAATAAGAATAATAAATAAATTTTTTCTACGAACAGTATCCTATAGGCTTTTGCGCTTCGAAATTCAACCGAAAATTTGACATTTTCCGCGAACTGACATTAAGTGACCGCTTTGTCCCTCGCAGAGCGGAAAATTTGACAGCTTTGTCGCTCGCCTAATTTAAATTAGATATATTTATTTTTAATAAATAATTTTATATATACAGGGTGTTTCATAATATATGCGCAGGACTTCAGGACGTGATAGCTCGTCCAAAAATATGAAAAAACGTTTCTATTATCTTACCCTCTAAAATGCACCATTTTCGAGATACAGGGTGTGAAATTGAAAAAAAAATTTCTACGCCACTGTAAAAAGTACGGTTTTGAGACGCTCATCTGAACCGCCAATGTTTTCTACACAAAAAAGGTACTCTTGGTCATACGCTCTAAAGTCGACCGTTTTCGAGAAAAATCAAATTTTATTGTTATTTTGAAATTTAAAACCTACTTGATGACTAGTCGCCAATCAGTATAGTTTTATTGCCCAATTTTCCTTTAAATTACTTTTTCAATGATGTGCCATTCATGGCACTTCCCCTTTTAAATTGTCAGGGTTGTTTACCCCCACTGCTCGAGGGTTGCAATGATGATACTGCAATAAGAAAAAAAGTACCCCCCTCCAAACTAAAATCGACCTGTCCGAGCATTTTTTAACATCCACGATATTAATACCCAAAATCGTCATGTCAAGTTTTCGTTGGGCCACCTTGTATAACTCTAATGGTTTTTTATACATTTGAATTTATGTTTTATTACTTTTACTAGTTAAAAAGTGTCAGACATTATAATAGTCTTAAGATCCGGGATTAAAAAAATATACCCTCATCTGTAAAATGAATGAAATAATTTTTTTAGGCTTATTTCAATGCGATGAATTTATAGAAGCAACCTTTGCCACCGCAGGTCTGCTACGATTAATAATAATTGATAAATTAACAATCAATTAATTTATAATTTTTACCTTCATATAGTAATTACCTGAACGAAGCAAAAAGTTTTAATATTTTATATTCTAAACCTTGTTGTACTAGGCACCCATCTATCTCTATGACTGCTGTATTTACCTGCAGCCAGGTGAGAACTGGAGTGGCACTCTGTATCAAATTGCAATGAAGAGAACGAAAGAGAAAAAATTTCCTCTCTTCTTTTCCGTATCGAAATTTGTACTCTGTAGCAATTTCTTTATTTAATTCGGTGTGAATCAGAAGTTTCCGTCGCGAAGAGAAATTTCTAAAATAACGAACTACTCGTCCTAAAACTGTTGGCTTGACTTCTATTTGACACATTAAATGAAAAAAGAAAGAATTTTAACTAACCCAATTTTTTAAATAAATTTGGATGTTTTGAACGTGGAATTTCTTAAAATATTACTCCATTGATTATTCTGGATCAAAGTTCATTTTCGACTGCTTTTTAATATTTTTATTTACCTACCGCTAATTCAAAGCAGACCCTGTGTTCAAAGGTAAGTGGAGAAAATAAAAGTGATTTCAGATTATACCAGTAATTTGACTTTCTATTTAATAATAATAGTTATATTTTAACTTTCAGATGAAGCCTGTCATAAGACATGTGATGCAAGAAGCCCAAAATGATTAACAAAAATATGAATATTTTTTCTTTATTTTTATTAATATTGTGATTAATTACAAACCGACAATTCACATAAAAATAAAGTAAACTTAAAATGTCAAAACAAAACTGGAGCGGCACTCCGTAACTAGGAATATGAGAAAGGCAAGAGATCTTTTCTCTATCCCGACTTCTTTTGACATTTTTCTACTCTGTAACTCTCTTCGATTATTTGAGATTGAACCGAACATGTACGATTGTCACTGGGAAAAAGATCGCTAAAGGTACGGTCTCTTTTGGGCGAGTAGTCGAGACGTTTAGACGCGGCGCTTAATCGCTTACGTCTAGACGCACCTTATCGCACCTAGTGGTCTGTTTACGTCATCTCAAGTAATCAACTAGTCGCCAATCAGTATTTTTTATTTCGTTCGACAAAAATGACTACTAGTGAACTCGTGATTGCAGCACAGTTACTTATAGAAGAAGCAAAAGACGATGACATTTTGTTCAAAGAAGAAAGGAAGGGTGCTTTAGTACGCTAATAATGATACATTTAATTGATGACGAAACTAAATTCAAAGAATACTTTAGGCTTATCAAAAGTCAGTTTAATGAACTGTTAAATATTGTATCAATTGATATTGAACAAATTCCTTTGGAGCTCATTTTGCATAAATAGCAGGCGATTAAATAAACGTGCGCGTTTAAATTGCCTGACGACCAATTTTGCCGTAAGACGCGTCTTGTGGCGACTTGTATCGACTTGTCGCTTAAATCAGACCATCATTATGATATCACTATTTAACCTATCGGCACGATTAAACGCCGCGTCTAAACGTCTCGACTACTCGCCTAAAAGAGACCCTACCTTAAGACCTCGTCGCATAAGAATATGTCTGGAATGTATATGGAAGGGGTTCTTTGTTTACATTAAGAACTTGATTTGGCAGTTTTGTTTTGACATTTTAAGTTTACTTTATTTTTATGTGGATTGTCGGTTTATAAATAATCACAATATTAATAAAAATAAAGAAAAAAATATTCATATTTTTGTTTATCACTTTGGGCTTCTTGCATCACATGTCTTATGACAGGATTCATCTAAAAGTTAAAATATAAATATTATTATTAAATAAAAAGTCAAATTACTGGTATAATCTGAAATCACTTTTATTTTCTCCACTTATCTTTGAACACAGGGTCTGCTTTGAATTAGCGGTAAATAAAAATATTATAAAGCATTCGAAAATGAACTTTGATCCAGAATAATCAATGGAGTAATACTATTTTAAGAAATTCCACGTTAAAAACATCCAAATTTATTTAAAAAATTGGGTTAGTTAAAATTCTTCCTTTTTTTATTTAATGTGTCAAATAGAAGTCAAGCCAACAGTTTTAGAACGAGTAGTACGTTATTTTAGAAATTTCTCTTCGCGACGGAAACTCCCGATTCACACCGAATTAAATAAAGAAATTGGTACAGAGTACAAATTTCGATACGAAAAAAAAAGAGAGGAGATTTTTTCTCTTCCCTTTCTCTTTCGTTCTTTTCATTGCAATTTGATACAGAGTCCCACTCCTGCCAAATCAAGTTCTTAATGTAAACAAAGAAAGAGTTATACCTCTTCCATACATTAAAGCGAGACATATTCTTAAGCGACGAGGACTTAGCGAACTTTTTCCCAGTGACAATCGTACATGTTCGGTTCAATCGTAAGCAGTCGAAGAGAGTTACAGAGTAGAAAAACGTCAAAAGAAGTCGGGATAGAGAAAAGATCTCTTGCCTTTCTCATATTTCTAGTTACGGAGTGCCGCTCCAGGTAGACAAATTTAACTTGTTTCCCTCGTATGTTAATTAAAAATCACGAGCATGTTTAGAAAGTTTTTAAAAAATAGAATATTTATATGTGGCAGTTACCTTGAAATCATTTGCAGCCTTTATAAAAAAAAAGTTAAATTTCGAAAATTTAAAAGAAAAATGTTCTGACAAGAAAGAAGAATAATTTGATTTCTTGTGCAAGAGACAAGGATACAACCGCGTAGTTGCGCATGCGTACTTGAGTAAATAAAAGAGTTTTATTTGAAGCAATTATTGTTACGATTCAAAGCTTTACTGCTCGAGTTTGGAGAAGGTAAGATTAGTTTGGCTGATTTTGAATCTTACAGAGCAAATACTTGGAAAAGAAAGTTTTTGGTGATCGACTAACTATGGAAGCTTCAGCCGGTCTGTTGCGAAAAAAAATTGTGTACGATGATATTTCTACTTTAGCTACTGAAACTATTATTTTAGAAACTAAAAATAGTGAAAAGTTAGATGACGTTGCTTACGAGTTACGAAATTGTGTGAAGATTCTTAAACGGAATAAGTTACCGGACAAATTGCGAGCGGACGATATTATCAAAGGTGAAGGTGACATTCCGAAGCAACTATATAATTTCATAAGGAATTTGATAGAAGGACCGGATATGATCTGCAAAGACCCTGATTGCAAATCTGTGAAAGTTGTATCTCTATGCAGTGATATTATTTATGCAATTACTAATGGTAGGACTAAACCATCAAAACATTTAACTCTTGGATTAGAAATGAAGTTATTAACAAATTCTCGAAAGGTAATAACTATTCTGAATAGATACGGCTATACAGTTGGATATAATTTAGTCGAAGAACTAGAAACAGAAATGACTTATACTTCATTGGATGATGATAGTGTTGTACCATCGGGAATTAATACAGATTCAAAGCTGAGTACTCATGTTGTATTCGACAATTTTGATCGTTTTGTCGATACTACTAGTGGAAAAGATACCATGCATGACAGGGTAGGAATTATTTACCAATTCTGTCAATTTGATAATGAAGAACCCTAGCCCATAGGAAGAATATCAGAGGTCAATGATCCTCAAAATGAAGAGCTGAGCTGCAGGCCAGCTGCTCGAAAAAGGCGAAAATTTGGAGAAGTTAATTTGGTTTCCAAGCAGTTTTTTAATACGCCAGATTTAAATTTTAATATGCTTCCTATGGAGATAATTCAAAGGGACATCGATGTGTGCAAAGGAGCCGTTGAAATATCGAAAAGTAAGGATCTTCTGTGCATACTATCTTAAGCGCATCATCATTTAACACCAATGTGGTTAAGATTTAATTGCACAATTTTTAAAGATATTAGTGAACTCCAAATAGTAGAATATCTACCTCCAATTAATGACTCTCCAACTTCCAAATCAGTGGTTTACCAAACTCTGGAATTGACCAAAAATATAGCTGAATCATGTAAGCAAAAGCATATTATTGTAACATATGACTTGGCCATTGCAAAAATGGCTTTGCAAATTCAAGAAAATAAAAGCCCTAAATTTGATATTTTCATAAATTTGGAAGCATTTCATATGCATATTGGTAAATATATTGAATCATGTGGTGTAGTTGAGATTCTTGTTCAGGCAAAAGTTCTAGCTGCAGGTTCAATGAATAGTTTTTTAGACAGGAAACATTTTAATCGGTGTAAGAGGATTCATCCTCTTACGTCAGCTGCGCTGGAAATAATACATTTGGAACAGTATTTAGGAGAAAGCAATGTAAGTCCGGAGATATTGTGTCAAAACTTTGAAAATCTATTAAATTCTTCAAATGAGACACTTTATGGTTTAAATGATGCTATGGAATTACCTGATTTAATTGATAAAGTTCTAGAAGGTTATAAAGAGTATTGGCAAGAAACGATAAATGGAAAACATGGCAAGACAGCTCAATTTTATTTACAATACTGTGAGTTTATCAATCTATTTCTACGATTTTCACGAAGCATACGAAGTAATGATTTTGAATTATATTTGGATTTAATTTATGAGATGTCTGATTTGTTCTTCACTTTTAATCAACCTAATTATGCTAGTATTTAAGTAATCTGATTAACCTAAACATTGAGAATTCACCGCTTGTTCAAGAATTCCGTCGTGGAGCATTTGGTATTAGACGAACCAAGGCTCCTTTAGCAAGATCACCGGAAGATTTAACATTGGAACAAACCGTGAATGCTGATGCTGAGAATCAACTGACTAGGAATTATTCGGCTAATTCTATATCTGCGGACAAAAATGTTATCATTCGTCAAACATAATGTTAGACTGTCTCATATTGAAGATGGTTCTCATAGCTTACAAAAATCTCGGATTGCAAAGGACAGGAAAACTCTTGATGCTATTATCGAAGGAATAAAAAATACACTCAACCCCTTTGATGCTACAATTGATAAAGAAATTTTGTTCAATATTATGAGTGGCCGAGCTGCCTCTCCTGAAGCTGCAAACTTTTTGCTAAATTTAAAGACAATGAGCAGCGAGCAAAAATCAAATTTTATTTCTGAGTATAAAAAGGAATAACATTTTTAGTCTTTATGTGTCTCTAAATCGGAAAAGAGTAGAGATACAAAAAAGTTATCTTGAAGATGGAACGTGATATTTTTGGTAGGTTATTATCAATAGCTCTAGAAAAAAAAAATAGATATTGAACGCTGTTTTAGATTCCCGTTAGCACCACTACCACCAGCCCTCTTTACGTGCACTGGTGAAATGTACAAGACTGACAAGTCAAATTTGGCAAAAATTTTAAAACAAAACGTCCAACAGACACAACCTCCAAGTGTGGAAATAGAAATTGTTGATGAATTTAATTATCTACATCTCATTGGAACAAGTTTACCTAAAACATTCGATAAAGTGGCAGAATCAATTCTCATCAAACTTTGCTCAACAAGTGCTTCTGAGTTTCATATAATATTTGACAGATATTCGTGTGGTTAAACGCTACTGATGTTGACTGCATTAAATTAAATCCTGAGGATTGTGGATGGTTCATGGATGGCCATTTGAAACCTCGCTGGTTTGTTGGAGACGCAACACCGCTTCAAATTGAGGATATTGTCCAAAAGAAAATCAATGACAACAAGGAAAATGAAAAAATTCATTCAGATGACGATGGAGAAGATCTTGATAATTATGTTGCAAGTTCTGATGATTCTGAAGAAGAATAAATGACTTTCAGCTTGCAATTATTTTAACCATACATGTGCCGCGTTTGAGAATCCACATCGGATGCATCTGGGATGTAGTAAATCTTTGATCACGTGATTCAGTTTACGTAAATGTAATGGGACAGATGTGTCCGATGTGGATAAAAAAAAACGCTCGAGATGTAAAAAATGCATCCGATGTGAATTCTCAAACGCGGTATTTAATTTACAAAATTATATAAAAACTTTGAAATATCTTTCTGTCTTTTTCTTTCTTATACTACAACTCTCATTTTCTCTTTCTATTCTAGTACGTTTAAATGGGTCTGTGATGCGCGCGCATGGCTTTTACGCTTTCCTTGTTCATTGAAAGAATTTGTACTACTTTGTCTCACTCTTCGCAATGAGCTCCCATTGTCACCGTTAATTTTTATTTTTATTATTTATCTCTGGCTGCATCAGCTTTTCTTACGATAGCCAAATATGATTGTGTTCAAAGTTCGACACCATTTAATATAGCACTTGAATTTTTTAATTAGCATGTAAGGGAAACAAGTCAAATTTGTCTACCTGTTTTGACCTGGCTGCAGGTAAATACAGCAGTCATAGAGATGGTGCCTATAATAGTACAACAAGGTTTATAATATAAAATATTAAAACTTTTTGCTTCGTTCAGGTAATTACTATGTGAAGGTAAAAATTATAAATTAATTGATTGTTAATTAATCAATTATTCTTAATCGTAGCAGACCTGCGGTGGCAGAGGTTGCTTTTATAAATTCATCACATTGAAATAAGCCTAAAAAAATTATTTCATTCATTTTACAGATGAGGGTATATTTTTTTAATCCCGGACCTTAGACTATAATGTAATCAGTTTTTGAGGTCAAAGATCAAAGCAATAAAAAATATCTGCAATATTGAAATATAAGGAGTAATCCACAAAAAAGTGTCAGAGGTTATAATGTAATCAGTTTTTGAGGTCAAAGAACGAAGCAATAAAAAATATCTGCAATATTGAAATATTAGGAGTAATCCACAAAAAAATGTTTCTATGGCTTTAGAAAAATGTACGTATGTTGAGCGTGCAATACTTCTGCTTTTTAAGTGTCAGTTTGGATTTAATTCAGAGGTGCGCATACCAATCACGGACATGAGTCGTATCTCTGTCTTTGGGATCTATTCTGTAACAATTCCTTTATATTTAACGGCCTTTAAAAATATTGGCGACCTTTAAAAATATGTTCGTATTCGTTAATTTACTTCTGTCATTATTTAAACAGATTTCTTTAAGATAGTCCTCTAATGTATTTTAAAGATCCGTTTAAATAAATAAATAAAAAATATTTTTAAAGGCCGTTAAATATAAAGGAATTGTTACAGAATAGACCCCTTTGTCCGTTATGGTTATGTGGATCTCGCTTTATTTGATTACCTTCAGAAACAAGTCGAATATAAAGACATCTACTAAATGATGGTTTAAAATTAAATATACATCTTTCATTTTTTTTAATGTCGTGCCAAACATGTAATTAAATATTCAAAAACATTTAAATTCAATCACTTAATATTCCACTCATATTATGTATCTTAATTTTTCCAAGAATTTTAAACAGTAAACTGAGTAGGTGGGAATTTCCATATAAAGTATAATGTGAATGGCCATTTTTGTACCGCGTTGTTTTTGACCTTGTGCAAAATAAATAATCATTTGTATGATTATTTTAAAGATTTAAAATTAAAATTATTTTTTTTAAATATATTACTTTATAACCGTAGTACAACTGTGTTATTTTAAAAAGCCATGAATACCGGAAAAAAAAATGTTAAACATGGACAAAAATTAATCTTTTTTTAATAAATGTATCAATGCATCTTAACGTTAGATAAAAATGTATCACTATATCCCAACGTTAGATTTTTTAAGACCATGTATAATACAGTTTCATGAAATAGCATATTAAATATTTGTTCAGTAGTAAAACGTATACAACATATCCGTGACACAATCTTCAAGGATTGTTGGGCTATTACTAAAAAAATGTTTGCACGTCATCTCTAGGGAGCTCTAGCTCCATTAGGAATCACTTTAGTGGGTAATTTCATTTTAATTTTTACCTTTTCCTTAAGAACATTTTCGGGGAAATCTAATCCATTGAGCATCATGTCTGCGTTCCGAGTAGCAATGCTTCCAAAAAGTACATATTCTACAGTATGTCCCCCTAAGTTGGAATCATATGGAAAACTTTTTTATTATTAATTTTAGGAAAAAAGTTATTATTCATAAACAGTTCTGCATTATCTAAAACCTAGAATACAGTAATCAAATATCAAATTTTTTCAGTGGTATACGAGGTTTGCCAAAAAATATGAAATTTACTCAAGAGTAAAGTACCTTTAAATTTGACAATATCGAAAAATGTTACTAAAAAAAGTTGATCAGAATTAAAAATTACGTTTAAATATGCAAGTACATCCATTTACATTAAAATTTCAGATTATTTTATTTTTTACTATCATTTCTATTTTGAATGAACATTTATCTCTTGTGATTACGAAACACATGATAACCTTTAAGTTTTTCAATGTTTTCTAATAATTTTGCAATTAAAACGCGTGATAAGTGCATGTTTATTTATTTTGCAAATAATAAAAGTTATAAAACTAACATCATATTAATATTAGAAACAAACAAATTTAATTTTCACTCAGATTCTTAAACCTAAACATAAAATGGGCTGTGAGCAATAGTGCCAGCGTAGTTCAAATAGAGCTAACGGGGATTCTCATAGCAGCAAAAGAAATAACCAGAAACAATATCACTGGAAGGAACATGCTCATCTATACAGATAGCAGACAAGCAATACTCACCCTGAACAGACCACGAATTTATTCAGGGTTAGTACTAGAATGTCACGAAGCTTTGGCCGAAGTATCCATCAACAACGTGGTCACCTTAAGATGGATTAAAGGTCACGCCACATCGAAAGGTAACCGTCTTGCTGATTCACTAGCCAAGAAAGCAGCCAACCAAATACTTTTTGGACCTGGCCCTTCTATTGGCCTGGCAAAATCAGCAGTGACAGACCTAATCAAACAACATTCCCTTGTGAAATTCAAGAAAAGATGGGATGAAATAAGAAACTGCAGAGTTGCCAGGGAGTTTTTAAGTTATCCTGACAACACTGCAGCAAACAAATACTTGACTATGACTACACAGAATCTGCGCCTAATCACATGCATTCTGACTGGTCATTGCCAAGTACGAAAGCATCTCCATATCATGAGACCATCGAGCATATCCTTTACGATTGCTCGACGCTCTCATTTATTAAAAGATTTGTGTTCGGCGAGTATCGGCTAACACCGGCCGATATAAGAGAAGCACCTCTTGGCGACGTTGTCAACTACATTAAATCTGTAGGCTGGCTGACGAGCTAGGAAGTGTCTATCTTCTCAGAAGGATGCACAATGGACCTAATGAGGCCTCAGTGCTGTGGGGGGTAACCCACCCTCCACACGTTACAGATACAGAGATACATAATACTTCCAGTTCTTCTAAATTTATTTACTATTTTCGTTACAGTTGATTGGGTTATATTTTTATTGGGATGTCTATTATTGAAAATATTTGCTGCTTCTCTATGCATTTTATAGTAACCTCCTACAATCAAAACAATTTCTATTTTCTCTTCATGAGTTAATAACGCTACTATTTTTATGTGTCTTATAAATTCTAACGCGGTTTGACTTTTACAAATTATTTGTTTGTCAGTGCATCCTAGATTACATGTAACTACAGTTAAATTTGCATTATTGTAGACATACGTTTTAAAAATAATTTTATTAAAGTAAATGGATGTACAGGGTGAGCGAAACTCGATGTCTCAG